CATTGGGCTAGTATTCCAAAGGTCGTAGGTTCGAATACCACCGTGGCCGGGCATATTTTTCAAGCTCGCCCGGTGTGGATATGCGCTCAGAGTAACATCGCAAACATATTATTCACCTGAGTACACAACACCAACACAGAAAAATTCATATTAGTAAGAACACATTGGTATAGAAGGAACTAGATACTGTTCCGAAATATCACTTACTCGAACCATCCTGACCGCGTAGCTCAGTTGGAAGAGCATTGGGCTAGTATTCCAAAGGTCGTAGGTTTGAATCCCACCGTGGCTGGGCATATTTTTCAAGCTCGCCCGGTGTGGATACGCACTCAGAGTAACATCGCAAACATATAATAGGAAATTTTTTTTCGTCGAGCCCTCTCCCCACCCCCACCCCACCCCCCCCCATTAACAACAATTTTGGGAAGGTTTACATGGACATTTTTCATTATAGTCAGAGAAAACTCAGGAGTTCGAATTTCCTTCCTCCCTAATTTGTTTCTCACCAAAACACCTACCTCCACAAACACTATAAACTTGGGTAAATATAGTTTCCATGAACTCATGCGGAATTTAAAATTAACTCAAACTTTGAAATTTTGACCAGTTAAATAAATATAATATTTTGACCAATTAATATTAATTAAATGTCAAAAAAAAAATTTCATTGCGACCTAAAAAAGTGGTTGTTTCAACCAATCAGTTTTTACAGCGCCGGGTAACTGGATTATGTATGATTCTCTATATAGAATATAGTGGTGAAGTCAGCCCGACAATTTGTTCGTGCTAGCTACATAAATATTTCCGTGAAAACAATAAATTTCTAAAGAAATGAATATATGAAATTTATTTGAAATTTGCATGGCATGACCAAATTGTCGGGCTGGCTGGTCCACAGGCGCGAAGTGCCGTGCGAGGGTACTAATTCCCCCCGGCTATTTACAACCGTGCAAACGAAAGCATTAGCGAAGTCTAAAGTTCATGAAATATCGCGGGCGTGTGTCACCAACCGTGGGTGGTCATCGTTACTGATTTCAAAAATATGGCGGACTGTCATGAATAGCAAACACTGTGATTGGTCCAATTTAAAGTTTGCATTGTAACGACTGCACGACGACTGCGAAATAGAAAACATTTCTTTATTTGATGATTGACCGATAAATTTCTTGCAAATATATTTCATTTTTGCTCGCATTTTTGCAAGATTTTGTAAATTTCAAGAAAGAAATGGCGAAAGAATCGGCTAAAAGAAGGGAGCCGACGTTAACGAAGGTAAATTTGTTTTAAATATTGATTTTATAATTGCTTTAAAACCCGACGGCCTTTGCGTATATGAAACAAGTAAACAAGACAGCATATCGGGCCCCATTCAGTGGATCTTTAAAACTGATTCCCTTTTTTATTATATTGAATTTTTTTAAGTAAAAAGAAAGCAAAGTTATTTGCATGCGAGAATTTGAAATCATTTTATTGCAAACTCAAAGTTTATCGATAAAGCCATTTAATTAAAGAATAAAGGCAGTTTAGTTTTATAAAGAACACTTTAAAACGTTTTGCGAAGCGTTTGTTGTTGAATTTTACCTTAAATTGAAGCTTATATTACGTATAATATCATACCTACATATGTTGGGAAATTGATAATTTTGTAATTAAAAGTGATATTTTTAAGCGATTTTTCATTGGTGAGAATATTCTTAAAAAATTATCGTGTTACCATGGCAACTACTTTAGATACTTCATGTTCGGAAAATACAATGGTTTTGTCAGCAAGTGCTGCAAGGCGAGGGTTTCTGCATGCATGTATTTTCTAGTATATTGGTAAAACCATAGTTTTCATAAAATTATAGTGTATTGGAAAAGAACTATAGTTTTCATAAAACAATAGTGTATTGGTAAAGAACTATAGTTTTTATAAAATTATAGTGTACGTATTGGTAAAGAACTATAGTTTTCATAGAACTATATTGTATTGGTAAAAACCATAGTTTGCATGTAATAAAACTATTAATAGTGTATTGGTATAAAGAACTATAGTTTTCATAAAACTATAGTGTATTTGTAAAGGACTATAGTTTTCACTATAGTGTATTCGTAATTAAAGAACTATAGTTTTCATTAAACTATATTTCTTCAATACACTATAGTTTTATGAAAACTATAGTTGTTTAAAAGAACTATAGTTTTCATAAAACTATGCCGTATTGGTAAAGAACTATAGTTTTCTTAAAACTATAGTGTATTCGTAAAGAACTAATGTTTTCATTAAACTATAGTATATATTTGGTAAAGAAATATAGGTTTCATAAAATTATAGTGTATTGGTAAGAAACTATAGTTTTCATAAAACTATAGTCCTTTAGTTATGAAACTAAAATATATGCTAGTGGTAAAAACTATAGTTGTCTAAAATCAACTATAGTTTTCAAAAAACTATAGTTCCCTTAGGTTATAAAACTATAGTTTATTGGAGAAAAAACTATAGTTATTTTGAAGATAACTATTAATAGTTTTTTTTGGAAGCTATAGTATTCTACCAAAAACTATAGTTTTACACCAAAAACTATAGTGTGTCTCAAAAAAACTATAGTTTTTGGTGAAAAACTATAGTTTATTTTTGTAAGGGTATATAAGGTGTCTATTATCAAAAATTGAATACCATGAATCAACAATGTCGATGATCAGCATCTTCAAACGCAAATGCTGAATCACATGGGGCTTCCGCAAACAATTCATTGTTGAGGGACTTTATAGATTTCTGCATTTGAGTGATGTCTATTGTAATTTAGTATCTGCTACACCTTGTACTCCGGTTTTCTTAAAGCGCCTGAGAACGAATACTGCGAGATGATCGGACAGGCCAACATTATGCAATCTATCTGGGTGACTTGAGTAGATGTGATCCAAACACGTGTTAGATACTGATGGGTGATACACTTGACAAGTTTAGTTAGATTTAGAGTCAGAAGTGTTTTTTTAAATCAAAAAGGAATCAGGATTTAATTTAAGTAATCAATATTAAAATCACCTAAGGTTACTAGTTCCTTCTTTTCCAAATATGCGTTCTCGATATTCTTTTCTAAAATTATGTTATATTCTTTTTTGGCAGACGGTGGACGATAAACACATGCAGATACTAGTAGGCCTAATGATCACTTAGATTTATGCGGACAAATTTCAAACGATATAGATTCAGTATCATTGGATTCCAGATCCATTCTGCGCTTTGCTTCCACGCTCTTGTTTACATATATTATAATTCCAGCAACGTTTCCTTTTCCGTCCTTTCTATACATTACATACTCAGGTATTTTGTAGTAAGAATCGGGAATGTTCTCATTGCTGAAGGTCTCGGTTAGAATCAGAACATATAGTAAAATTTAATCAAAAGGTAAAGAATTTGAAGATATATCCGAATCCAGGGCCGAAAATAAGTTTCGGTAAAACCACAAGGAAATAAAAGCGGATAATTAAAGTTGTTCCCAAGGCAATAACCAGATGACGTTTTGAGTAATTTAAATATCCAACGGATACAGGAGTAAAATCCCAAATAGACTAAAAAACCTTTAAACAAAACGAATTAAAACTTTGCCAATATATGTAAAATACAAACGATAGCGCCGGTACATTAAAAACCAAAAACCAAATTAAAAGGTGCGGTTTGTTGCAAGAGATACAATAGCGTACAGCCAAAAAAAATATTTAAATCTAAAGATCTTAGATGAAAACCAATGAATCCAGAAACAAAAATAACATATACTAATAAATATACACGCTTGCTTTAATTTCATACGACTGAATTTGAATTATTATACTGAGAAGTGACCATAAAAAGTCCGAAAATAAAACCGAGCCGTGCGTCTATGATGTCCGTGCGGAACATGATATGACAACAAATTATAAGTTTCTTTTAACATTTCTGAAATTTACTCAATGGTTTAGTGATAAAAAATTTGCCGCTAGAGAGTAATTGTGACAAAAATCCCGTGGACAGCAAAAGTATTGCTGTTCGCGCAAAGCTGCCCAGGTTGCCACAACGACCCGACTAATAATATATTTATTGACCAATTGGGAGCATATTAGTTATGCAACTTCGTGTTCGTCTTAATCCCTTTAATTACCTCAACCTTTGTGTTTTACAAAATGTTTACGCGTCGCATCGCTAAATACTTGTAGAACCATTTTTAATGGCCAGTGTTGCATTTGCTGCGTTAATAAGTGTTCTTGATTCGGCTTATATTGTTGAGTTTTCCTATATAGTGAGGAATCAACCCCATAAATATAACCATATTAGCAGCATTTAAGATCATTGACCAGACCGCTTTCAGTCTCCTCAAGTTGAGAAACTTGTTGTGCGACTGGCTCCAAAATGACCTCAATCGTCTTGGTATGAAAAACAGGCATGGTCCTGCCTACTGTAGAAGAATAGCTTAAGTAAAGTTTTGCGTAGTTTCTTAATGATTCACTTGTGAGTGCGCCGTATGCAATTTATTATTAATTAAATTAAAGACGTGAAGTAAAGGAAGAAAATTCTAACCTACCGCTTCAATGTCGCGTAATAATGTCCAATCTCCTGTCTCTGTTGTGTCTCTCTTTTTAGTAACATTGGTCAGTTGGCAGTTTTCAACATTGATTGTTGTAATTCTGTAGTTAAACCCAACACATTTTGTTTCTTTCTTACAGAGATTGTAGCACTTTATCTGGACAGCTGAATTTCCAACATTGTGACTCGATATGACTTCATTTGGAGGTAAAAATGAACCTGCTGTGTAAAAGTAAAAAGTCCAAAGTTTAAAGTTTCGACTGGTTAATAGAAACTTATAGAAAATAGAAGATTATCATGACTGTATATGTTTTATTTTGTTTTAGAGGCAATATTTTTATTTACTGAATAAAAACGGAAAACTAACCTCTTCTGATTGTCTCGTAATACCTGGGAGAACAGGTCTGTCCATTGATGTTTGCAATTCTAAGCATCAGCATCAGTATGGTCAATGTTAGCATTTTAAACATGATCAAGATTGTAAAACGTGCTTACTGTATGCCAGTCGTGGAGCAAGTGACTAAATAATGAGATAAGCAGGTGGAAAAAACACTGAGGGCGGTCTTTTCAAAAACATGTTAATGAAAATAAAGCCAATTGCAGCTTGTCATGAATTATTTTGAGCGGCTAAGTCACGTCTACAGCATGTTGGATGCCCAACATTTACCTCGAATTTAACCGGATACCTTTAGCTTACCAAATAAATGCATTCCAATTACCATTTTTCTTTCATGGAACGTGCTTATACATTAAAAATGGATATAATTATACATGCAAAATTTATATTTCAAATCCGACGGCTTTTACTTAGATGTTGTGAATAATATTACTGAGCGACTGCTCCTGTGCCCCCCCCCCCTGCATCTCCCCTGCCCTTCCTCTCTCCACGATGAATTGGTTTGCCGAACATAGTGCTAAATAAACAGGGGTTAATACAAAGTGACACTTACTGTAATAACCATAAGTCATAAGAGGCTCGACGGCATCATGTATTGATATATACGTTCAGAACTGTATATATGAACTTGCTGCCAGCAGTTACTGTAATTCTCAACCTCCAGCAGATCGATATTGAGCTTAAAAATGAAAAACGTAGAATTACGCCCAAGAAATGCCACTATATTTTAAGCTGTGACATGCTTACAAAATAAAGTTAAATACATGGAGAACGAAAAATACAACCTAATTAGGGCAGTTAAGCCGATTCAACTCGGTCTATTCCAACCTAGGGGAACCAAAAATCACGTTGACACCTGACATACTGTTCGAAATAAGAAATCGAACGTTAGTAAATCAATAGCAAGGATGTTCGATTCAAAAAAGGTCTCTAGTATCACGAATGTTAGTCCTTTATAGTCCTTTATAGAATCAACAAAAGGACAACGCCTGTCTCATATCAGACCCAGTTATCAACATTTAGATAGATAAAACTAATGCGTTATTAGCTATAGGCTTTGTGCGGTAAATTCAAGTGACAGTTTATTTGGCACACTAACATTTAAATAGGGATTACATTTAAATAGCCAGGGAACGGCAATGTTACAAAGAACATGATCGAATTCCTCAAGAATTGACTAAATGAGCTCCAAGCTTGCGCTATTGGCTATTTTTACAAAATTATAAAATCAATTAAAATACGTGGCAACACCAACAATATTGAATTCTGATACTTGCTGTGTTGGTGTAATGTACTTAGGTGAATAAGATGCTTGTGTGATGTTACTCTGAGTGTATATCCACACCGGGCAGGCTTGAAAAATATGCCTGGCCACGGGGTGAATCGAACATACGACTTTTGGAATACTAGCCCAACGCTGTGCCAACTGAGCTACGCGGTCAGGTCGGTTCGGGTATGCGATATTTCGGAACTGAGTCTAGTTCCTTCGATGTCAGTGTAATCTAATTAATCATGATACTTGCTGTGTTGGTGTAATGTACTCAGGTGAATAAGCTGCTTGTGTGATGTTACTCTGAGTGCATATTCACACCGGGCAGGCTTGAAAAATATGCCAGGTCGCGGTGGGAATCGAACCTATACGACCTTTGGAATACTAACTCAACGCTCTGCCAACTGAGCTACGTGGTCAGGTCGGTTCGAGTATGCGATATTTCGGAACTGAGTCTAGTTCCTTCGGGAACTGAGTCTAGTTCCTTTGATGTCAGTGTACTCTAATAATCATGATACTTGCTGTGTTGGCCTAATGTCCTCAAGTGAATAAGATGCTTGTGTGATGTTACTCTGAGTGTATATTCCAACGGCGGTAATTGAACATACGACCTTGGAAATACTAGGCCAACGCTCTACCCACCGTGGCCAGGCATAGTTTTCAAGCTTGGCCGGTGTGGATATATATATACACTCAGAGTAACATCACACAAGCAATATTGAATTAATAAACCACAATGTGCGAAACTAGAAAGTCAACCCTACCCTATAAGCACAATTCAAATTCAAATTATATTGACAATCAACATGACCGGTTATCCGAAACTTCAAAACAGCTTCTTTGAACATAACAAGTCTACCAAAATACATTGACGAATTTCGGAATCTGCATGAATTATATCACAAAAGCGCAGCAAGAGTGTTTTTTTAAAACCACTTTAAAAATCCCTTGCGCACAAAAATGGTAGGTTTGAAACGCAATTTGAAGGTCTTTTATGAACTATCAAAGTGCCAGATAATTGAATGTACATTACGTCCAACGCGCGCGACCTCTAAAACTTGGACTTTTTACCATTGTTGATTATGAACAACCGACATTTGCAATATTAAAATAGGTACCTGCCGGAATATTTATGCTTTCTCTTGCAACGAAAGTACGTTAATATTTTGTGGTTCATAGTCCACTGGTTCTTTTATGCGCGTTTTATTCTAATGACATATTGCTGTATCAATGCACCATGCATCTATAACTATCCTAGTTCCAAGATTGTGCAAACTACAGAAATATGCGGAGGCGACGGAGGTCATATACCTTTTACCCTTGTCACGGATCGCATTGTGGATGGAAAATATTAAATTTACATTAGGTGTTGCATATCAGTGGTAGAGTAATTAAAAATCACGAATATATTGAAAACTGTGTGATGTTCCAAGTTCCGTAATATGGCGTATTTACACAATAGCCAGGCTAGTATACCAACTACTTAACCGACATTAATTAACAATATTATTCTCCTTCAAAACGGGTACAATAAATAACGTTCTCGCGATGAGTGCGACGTTTAATAGCTTTGATGATGAAATTGTGGTTCGACAAACAGTTATGCAGACATTAATGGCATCGACAAGGAGTCGGATCTCTGCGTGTGGTACTCTGTAGCATTTTGAATTCCTCTTCGTCCTGCACCTAGCTTCCATCGAAGGTTTTCGTTAATTGTTGCTTTACCTCAAGTCTTGTCAAATTAAGACACAAACAAAAACGATGAATTCTGGTTTAGCTGATACGTAGAACTATACATGAAACTACTTTGTTCCTTCTGTCTATTCTTTCTTGCTTTCTGATAAATTTTGTATTTTAAAAAATTTATAGGTTTGTTTATATTTTGCCTAAAAAGCAGAGATGAAGTGGAAAAATACAGAGCGAGTAAGGCAGTGCGCCAGACCTCAGCGCATTTTTATTATTGCGTTATAAATACACTTACACACGTATTAACCGATCATGTTGCATGTTATTTTCGACACAAAATTTTACATTAAATTTTGTAGATATCACTCCTGCTTTCTCCAACATGAGCTCCACCTTTGAATTTACTATATGAGTAAATTCTTAAACACGTCCGAATTTATCATTATGATAAATTCGCGGAACATTTTGAATTTATCAATAGAGTTAAGAGGAGACTTTTTACAAAGTCGCGTATTTTTTAGGAACAGCTCTCAAAACTTAGCGACCAGGCCTTGGCGAAAAAATGCAGCGCCGCCATCTTGGTTTTAAAAGTTTCTCAAAATTTGCGACGAAAAATAACAGAATTTTACAGGATTTTTGGCTGTGTTACGAGGCAAGACATTGTCAAATATAAAGAAACATAACATGGTAAGTGTAATATCGTATTTAATAGCTGTTATTTAAATTATTATTATGTAAATATGCACATGTATCGGACTCAGGAGTGAGCATAATGCATGAGTCAATTCCAGGAGTAACCATCCCCCCCCGGGAACACACCCGGGAATTCGATTTTATCGGTTACGATTGTGCAAATGCCCGGGTGCCGGGACACAACTAGGAGACTAATGCACGGCTCCTGGGCAAGCTGAGAGTGGAAAATGTCCCACCCCCGGGACGATTTTAAACGTTAATTAAACTTTTAATGGCATATCATAGACATAGTAATTTAATAACATTATAATATTAAATTAAACTGCTATGGAATATTATATAACATGAATCTTGCTAAGAGTGGTTAAACAACGAAATCATAAATTATATTCGCATGGCACAGCAGAGTTCGAAATAATGGTTCGTGATTCGTGAATCACGAATCAATTTTCATTTTTCACGAACCACCGTATTCAAACGAAATTTTGTACACGAAAGCGCTTGAATACAAAGAGTATTACACATATAGCCACTCAGACATGACGAAAAGTTCAAGAGAATTCAAGATTATCTGGATATGAAATTCAGAATCTTTGGCCAGGCGGTGAGTAAATATATGATTGTTTCGGTTTGTGTAATGTTTTGACGGCACTTAACCCCCCGTTCGAAAGGTTATTTTGTAAGGGTTTCAATGATGGCTTTTATTTAAAAGGGGGGTAAATACTCGCCGAGATATTTACAATAGAAAAATTAAGTCGTAATGTAATGCGAAACCATACGGTCGGCAAAGAGTATACGATTATAATTCCACCCATGCAAAATTCTATTTGCGAGTTTGCGAGGTATATTATATTTATATATTTGAAAATTGCAGTGCTTCCACTTTTTAACTTCCAATTAGAGAAAATTCCTTGAAAATTCCTTAAAATATCCTTAAAATAAAAAAAATTAATTCACGAACTATTTTTTCAGAATTAATTCGAACCCTGCACAGGTAATAATTTTCGCTTATTCTTAAATTTGCGCAATTTCATTCCCTGCTTTCGGATTGAAAAAGATCGATTCTATAGTGTGTCCCAAAAATGTCTCCCCGAGGAAAATTAAAATGTAAGCAGCTTTAATTGACCTTATACTCAATATCATATAAAAAAAATTCTAAATATCTAAACTTTGAATGTGCATGTGGCAAACATTTAGACCCCGTTTACACGGTATCGGACGAATTTGGAACCGGGCTGAAATTTGTCCGTTTTGGCATTCCGTTTAATACACAAGAACCACGGAACTGGATGGATTTGAGACCCCCTATTAAGCAGGACGAATTCGCGTGTAAACAAGCGAGAAAGGGCGAATTTCAGCCCGACCTAAATTTGTCCGGTACCGTGTAAATGGGGTCCTAAAACTCGGATTATTGAAAAATAATTTCAATTTTGCAAACCTAAAGTCTGCCTGAACTCTAACACTCCGCGAATTTAAGTGTCCATGGCATTTTGAAGAGGCTGTCTAGTCCGTTCTGCTCACGCACGTGTTTTGTTTACATTTTTTGTCAAAGTCAAAGTCAAAATACTTTATTTGCCGAGGGTAAAAAACACCATTACTGGTCACCCAGTAGTTTTCATGATGGTCCTCACTAAGCTATGCAATAAAATAAATCTACCAAATTTGTACAAATACTGAATTTTTTAATAAGTCTTTTCCATGCAGAAGTGTTCAATTGAACAATATTGTTCCTGAAAGCTAGAGTGTATTACTTTTCTAAAATTTGCATAAGAGGCAATGCTCTTAATTGACAAGTCTGACTTGTTCCACTGACGACATGCACTGGAGTGGAAAATTCTTTGTGTCAAACAATAGATAATTTAATTAAAATTCCGATCTGTGGGCCCCAGAGATAGGAATTCTAATTAAATGATCTATTGTTTGAAACAAAAATGTAAACAAAACACGCGCATGAGCAAGAACGGACTTGACAGCCTCTTTAAATTAGACAGTTTTTCCTTGTTCTTTTTTCTTGTTGCTTTCGCTTTTTCCGCTCCTCTCTTCCTGTTTATTGACACCTGTGTTAAATGCTCAAGCCATAGCTTTACATCATCTGATGACAGCAAACATTTTTTTGCAAGCATGTCAACATCTGCTTCCTCCACGCATCTATCGTTTAATTTTCTATAATATTCTGCTAAAATTTCACTCGGTGGCGGACACCTTATGGCTTTACCAACTGCATGCAAATTTAGTAACTGTGACACATCTGTAACATAATGACCACAGAAAACACCAACGCAGCTTGTGCAGTCCATCCTTCCCCATGATCGTGTAACATCGACTACTGGGTATGGGAAAAAACTGAATGATGGCCCTTCTGGATACCAGCTTGTAAGAATTGGAAGATTTCTTATACCTTTAAAAACAAAGCTCAGCTCAAAATTTAAAAACATTTCTGTTGGCCAGCCATCCCCAGATTTTTTCATAGAAATGTTTAGTTTAACGTTTGGTTAAATATAAATTGTGCAAACATTGCATACTGTACCATGTTCTTTGCAGGAATTGAAGACGTAAGTTTCAATGGTTTCTGCTTCCACTTCTGTGACATTTATGCATTTTCCATGATACCACTGACCACACTGATCACAGCAAATCATAAAGCTAAAAATCAAGTTAAAAAGTGCATTTTATGCAGTGCATTTTATGCAATGCATGATGTTTTATTAAACATTAATAATAAAAAATAATACAATAATAAATGTTAAAAATGAATGGACTAGGAAACGTGATAGCAGTGTTTTTGGGACGACTAGGAAAAAAGCTGGTGGACCCCAAATCTCATCAGCTGAATAAATAGTTAAAGGGATGGCAATCCTGTGATTCTAACATGGTAAAACAGAGGAAAATTTACCTTTTATTCCCTTCAGAGAAACCACAGAAACAAAAACTGCCTGCAAATGACGTACCCACTACAGGATTTTGTCTTCGGGATTCTATAGAGAACGAAAGATAAAGATTCGCTATGACTCAAGTAAAATTCCTGAAATTGCCTGTATTAATTTTCAATCGCACTGTACCTTCCTGACACCGTGGATGTGGGATTAAACGTGGATTTACCACAACACCTCAGCATAAAAACATATTTTTCAGGCAAGCTTTTATCCATGTGATTATCACGTACTTTCCAAATTTCCGAGAAATATTTAAATAATGTAGGGTCTTCCTTCTGCAAATTTTGCTTTTCCGTTTTATTTCCTTTAATAAACACCATAAGCTTACTTCTCCGTGACACAAAATCATGGTTTTCGGCACCTCTTGCCAAATGGATTACAGTCTTCATACATGGAGTGCCATCAACTCGACTAATGTACTGATCCAAGGCAGCAGACATGTTCTTTCCATGTAATTTCTTATCAAATTCCCCATTTTCTGAATAAGGCACACCATGTAAAGTAGACGGAATGAATGTGTTCGAGTGTCCACGACTTAAACATCCATTTTGCAGTTCGACGCGATTTAAATAACTATCCCCGATACACCGAGTTGTTACAAGTGTTACCTTTGTTTTCCTGTTTACATGGCGCTCGCACCAGATAAATTGCACTTCAGCATGAGAACGGCCTTCGTCTGTCGCGCCATCCACTCTAACGCACTCAATTTCTTTGTATTCTCCGTTATCATCTAAAAATGCTGACGCTATCACATCCATGCTTTCAATAACTGACATGTCTGCTCCATGCTGGGCAGGAGACTTTTCATGAAGCCCAGACGCTTTTACCACCCCAGCACACAGTAACGTTCGTCTGTTGTTGTAGTCTTTGAGAAGTTGTAGCTTGTGACCTGCAACTGAGCCTGATATTTATTTAAGAAGTCAGTGCGAGTTGTAACTGTTGGCTTTACGGATAACGAAGGGTAGTTCTTGTGGGTAAAGGTGGAATCCAGACGAAAACCTGCTTGGCCATCTCTATTCACAAGCACCATGTTCTTCCCATCCGTTTGTAATTTATTTAAAGACTTGTACATTGAGCGAGACCATTTGCAATCAGGGTTAAATTTCAAAGTAAATCCTTTTCTTGCTCTCATGTACTTCACATTGGCAACACCGCAGTAACGCCTAGACGACCGATGGCGTTTATGTCTCGGGACACACAATTGTACTACAGTACCATAGCTGAAGCGCCTTCCATAGTGCTCTTCGAGCTTTCGTTGAATTTTGCCAAAAGTAATCCGCTTTGACGATTTAGCATCACCAGAAAAGGTGTAGACACCAGTTCTGCGCCAACGATCGGCGCCTACATCACATTCTTCGACAATTTTCTCAATGATTTCACCAATATCACTGTACTTATTCAATATGGTTTTTGTAGATTTAGAAATTTTCTTCCGAAGGAAGCGTTTTCCCTCAATTTCCTTAACCATTCTCTTTCTGGACCGGTCTTTTATTTTTCGTAATTTTGTCTGTAATTTCTCCTTGTGTTGAATACGTTCCTGGTTCTCTTCTTCTGATTCCTCTGCACTAGAGTCGGTACAAGAAAATGACATAGCTTCCATGTTAATTTCATTCTGTCGAATTGTTTCTAAATAAGCAACCCGTGATTCGTCGATCAGCGCAACTTCCTCTTCATCAAATCCAAGTTCTGGCAACCGTGAGGCAACTTCAATCATCAACGAATCTAGCATACCTCCGTCTGCAGAAACAAACTTGGACCGCACTAGGACAACAAAAGCAAACCAATTTAACGACACTTCTCTTAGTATGTTCACTGCTGTTTGAATATTACTCTCACTTTTATGTTTATCTGCTATGTTCGTAGTATATGATATACCATTGTTGCCTTGGATTTCAGTCGACGTATTTTCTTCTACATCACTTAATACACTCTATCACTTGAACTAAGTTCAGTATCTGTTTCAATAAATGAATCTGAACTACTACTTGTCAAGAACTCATCAACATTTTCCCCACAAGAAAGTAAAAAAGTTTTTTTCTCTAATTTTGCCAAAGCAGAGTGTCTCTCTTTTATTTCCTTCATAGCGATCGCAGTTTTGTCGATTTTATTAGCTCTCTTTCAGTTTTGATATCCCATACACTTTACTAGCTTCCCTTCTTGAAATATTCTGAGAACTACACAAAGTATGTTTTAATAGTTCCTTTTCAGGTTCCCCTTGCGCAACGGAAACTAATGCCTCATAGTCCTCTCTTGGAATATATGATTTATTCTTTGAAATTAAATCTGACTGTATTTTGTTTTGAAGGGTGCTATATTCTTGGAATGTTTCTTTCTTCTTAGTTATATAAATTGCACCAGATACATTTAAAGCACAAACCGGCATTTGAAGAATTTTTCGTTTCCATGTCCACTTCTTTGTACTCAACATTTTTCTTCTCTTCCACTATGATGTTGGTATTCATGGGTTCTGTTTGTGTCAAACTAAATATTTCCTCAACTTCTCTATCCTCTTCTGATTTGCTGTCTTCACGTTTTTGCGAGGGTAGATTAGTATTTTCCGACAACTTGACTTTCTTTCTTTCATCTTCTCCTATGACATAATTTTCATCTTCTGCTTCATCCTGGTTAGGACCATAATTTATTTCTGTGTTTGCAGGATGGATCTTCTCTTCAATGTACATCTGCCCTTCAGCCCTGTCTTCTTCATTTGTACTCTTAGATTCTTCTTCATTTGTACTCTTAGATTCTTCTTCATTGGTACTCTTAGATTCTTCTTCATTTGTACTCTTACATTCTTCTTCATTTGTACTCTTAGATTCTTCTTCATTTGTACTCATAGATTCTTCTTCATTTGTACTCATAGATTTGTCTTCATCACTGGTAAGTAATACTGTATCATCACTTGCTGGATGGTGACAGGTTTGTAATTGGCTGTCGCTTGACTCATTTTCTTGCTTCTGCATAAAAAACCTGATATCCTTTTGAAGAATATCTTCACATTCACTGGAAGAAGTTTTACTTTGGTTTTCACTACTTCTTTTCTCCAGGTATTTTCGGTGTTTAATTTCTTTTTTTGCAGATTGGAGAACTTCTTTTTCAAACCATTCAGGTCTTTCACCAGTTTGCGTTGTTCGTCATGCAACTTGGCACATGCTTCAAAGTCTTTAGTTACTTTAGAATGGCCAATATCTTTTTCAATTTTAGTGATTCTTGAAGTAATCATCCGAATTTTCTCTGAACAGGATGTGATCTCTTGTTTTCACTCTGTGCCTGATATTTTCTTCTTTTTAGGAATATTTTCTCCATCTTCAAATTTTGATCTTGATCCATGTTTTCTTTTGAATATGTAGGTTTTGCGTGCTTTTTCCTCAGCAGCCAATTTCAACTGAGCATGGTGATACATCTTGTCTGGTGCTTCTTGTGCTATTACAAATGCTGCATCATTTACAGCTACTTGCCAGCTTGAGAGTTTGGCATGATCCTTGAACCTGCCATATATTTTAGACTGTTCTTTTATCACATTTGTACTAATCACTGGTTGAATGATCTTTAGCTTAGGCGAAGACTTTATAGAGGTTGACGGGATGCTGGTGGTATGTTCTACTGAAGAATCTATTCTGATAGTGGGAATAGAGGCACTTTCCTTCAAATCTTTTTCTTTCAGTTGTTCGAACTTTTTCTCAAATTTCAAAAGCAGACCCTGCTTTTTTATCATTGCCTTTATTGCTTGATCGTTTAATAGCACAAAAGCATCACCATCAATTTCATTCTCTATACAAAGATTGCATAATTTCCCTATTAACATTGTTGTATCAATAAGAATTCTATCAATTTTTTTCTAGTATGTATATACTTCATGAAATAGGACATGAACCGACTAAGTTAGATGAATCTTCCTTGAATAGTTGAATTACAGTATATGGAATTAACCATTTGCTTGGCAATGCACCCAAATGTACCCATACTGTAGTATTTTGCTCTGTCTAATGCGAGAGTGTTTTACTGCCAGAGTATTTAATTTGTCTGTGGAAGGGTTCTGCCGGTAACAAAAATTGAACGGTGGTGGGTCACATTATGAAGGGTGGACTGTAGTTCAATTGGTCGCAAGAAATGCTTTCAGATCAATTTTGCCACAACTAGTATATGATGTTAGGTTTCATTTTAGTTAAATTAATGCCAATCAGTTTTGGGATTTATTTAAGACACACATTGTAAGTCAGATGATGTGAAAAATATAAGAGTGGAATTTCCCAGCCTATCTGATACTTCACAAATATATAGAGGTGAGGTGCTTTGATCAAGAGAAGCTTAAGGCCTTTTGAGCAGACCAGACATGCTATTTTTAAAGGGCAGTCACATAAAATAATTCAATTATAGCAAAAGATTCATGTTGTGGTTTGCTATTAAGATGTTTATAATCGAAGGAATCTTTGTTGTTGTTTGTCTGTCTGTCTTTTGTTTCTCTCTGTATAATTGGTATTCACTGCAATGACAATGTTATAACTGCAGTACATAGCTGCATGGTTAAAAGGATGCATGAGTCAATATACCTTTATTATATATTTAGACAATTCCTGGCTTTAGTCCATGCATGTTTTATATTTCTACAGATACTATACTTTTATATCCGCACATGCAATATTTTAGTAAACACATCTCTATCTTGCCTAACCTGTGATTAGGCCTATAAATAAATAAATAGGCCTGATACAAACCTTAATGCAGGTATCAGCGGCTATTCTGGGGCGTTTTCTCCAGGCAACTCACGGGCAACCCCTGGGCATGGCATGGAATTTGTTTTAAAATCACGTCCCGGAGTTTTAGCCTATATTTGTACTTTGCAAATTAACCCCGGGGACAAACGCCTGGGATTTGCATATGGACTGCTGCTATATCGGTCAGCGGTGATTCGTCAAAAATGCTTAACTATGATTTATGGAGATGCTTCGAAGCACATGAACAATATAGTTGAGTGTAATTTAATTTATTTATAAATGAATAATTAGTCATCCATCTCCAATAAAAGTTGGAAACACCAGAATAATTGTTTGAAACTATAAAGGACACAATTTGTTAAATAGGCTAAAATAACAAATGTAATGCCAAATGTCCTATATAAAATTGTATATGAATTTTCGTTTGAAAATATCTTCTCTACGCTTCACTGTTTATCGAACGAGATGTCCAAAAATATGTTGATAAGTATATATAATTATTAACTTACTACAAATGTCTTTATAAATAACCATTTTGTTATATTTGAAATTATTGTCAGTTTCCAATTTCGCCCTGGAGGTAGGGGTATTTGTGACAAAGTTATGCCCAAACCCATGGCATTAGTGTCCTTTTGTCAAAACTGTTCTGACAAATCCCCCGGGTAGCCGGGGGTCGACCCCCCGGGAAGACAAAATATTTTTTAATCTGTCATGTGATTGGTTGGTGCTAATTAGATTATACTATTGTTGTTGATATAATTCATAGTGATCACAACTATAATTAGATTGTTGTTGTCGTTGTGTGAAATTTAAATTTATCCTGCAACATTTTGATTGGTACTAAATATAAACATTGCTGGGTGGAAAGCAATCGGATTAAGGTTTGTGTCAGGCTATTACTTGTAAAATAAAGCCTGATACTCCGGTTATATCTTTCTTGCCCGAAAAAATTAAAACAATGTAACAATGCATGCAGTAAAAATTTGCTGTATTGATTTTCATACATTTACCATTTTATTAAATGCTGTCTATACTATGAGTCAAAGCCTGACAATTGACAAATATCAAATCATTGTATCACAAACGGTATGAAACTAGAAAAAACCCTACCACTTCCACAAGAACTACTGTATTCAATCTGGTGTACAACACAGTGTATTTGAGAATCACAAGACAAATGATAAAATATATATATTAAAATTTTATATGCAAGGTTTTATATATGCAAGGTTTGCTTGATCACAAAATGTAAACTGAAACAAGACAAGGCGTCTATTTAATAAACTATATTTATTTTATTTGTATATTTAATATAAAATATGATAGATGTTGTAGAAAACATTTATATCTTATACAATATTTTTATTATTAAATATGAAATGTTTACAAATACTATTAAAACCTCGCCACGTTGGCACGACATTCAGTATAGAAATACTGTACCAAAATATAAACAGATCAATGCAGCGAGTATAAAAAGGATAAAAAATAGGTACGCACTGCGTACATGTGGCTAGCCTACTCAGCCTGGTCGAATACAGCCGGACTTCACATTGTCATGAACATTCATCACAAACATTCATTTTGATACAAAATTAATCATTACAATAGAACAATGGTCAAAATAAAACAGATGCAGTATCTTTCTTACAATGCCAACAAATGGTTAGAATCACTTGATTTAAAAGCAACATGGTTTTGCTTTAATAATGATATAATACATACAGCAACTAATGTCAATTTTATTTTGTTTTTCAAAATTGCACTAATATGTAATTCACTAAGATTTCATTACACCGGTTTCTTGTTACAGATATATTCTGTTGTCTGGTTTACAAGTTATTAGCTTTTCTTGAATTGCTGGCATTGCAGATTTCATAAAACCTTTAAATTCAAAGTTCTTCATTTAACATAATGTATTTAATAATATATTATATTATATTTTTAAACATTTTTATTTATTGTAAGATCTAACAGCATCGGAATTTATAATGAACTCATCAAATCAATTATGTCATCACCGACACCACTAACTTGTATTGCCCTGACACTTGTGCAAATATCCTGATCTTCCTATATTATCCAATATTATCACCAGTCACCATATTATCAGCAAATTGATCAGAATATGTGTTCACTTAGTTGTTTGAAGTACTGTAGATGCCATGCATCACTATGATTTTGAATTGTGCTTTCATCTGCAAATTGTTTAAAATTAAGAACCAAATATTTACTGGCAGCTCACAAGACTGACACATTGTAAATGATGCAGGTATAAATTTAACCCATTAAGCAGCAGAGCTTCCCCATTGACGGGTAAAATCGTCTGGCGTTAGACAAGTAAAAGAAATAAGTAGGGTGCACTGGGGCACATTGCAGCTCATTGGGTTAAACAACATTTAACTGTGGCAATAAGAGTATGAATATGCTACTCAATTGACACTGCTGTTATTAAGTGCTGAAAAGAAATGTTGAAACGTGTCAATATGACCTCATCACATGGCTGTGGGTTTTCTTCTTCATATATACCCTCGTAACTGCAAGGGTCAGTGTTGTATGGTGATTGCACTAAT